TAGAATTCATATCTTCACAATGTTGTGTCTGCTCTCTATCTTGGTCTGTTCCCTTATTTTGACTTATGTGTACAGATATACGTGTTTTTTCCTGATGAGCCAAAAGTTGGCGTAAAACCTGTGAAGGCATATGTAGAACGTATGAATTCAGACAATGTCAAACAAGCAATCTTGGTTGTCCAGCAGAGTTTGACTCCCTTTGCGAAATCCTGCGTTGGTGAGCTCTCTTCAAAGGTGCAGCTAGAGGTTTTCCAGGTAATTATGCTGCTCTTCTTTTTCTTTTTTGAAAGGGAATTAGGCTGATTTGGAACTCAGATAATGTATCTTTGTTTTAAATTATCTTTTTGTCTCTTAATGGTTCGTTTTAAATTATCTTTTTTCTCTTAATGATTCATGTGATGAGTAATTATTTTTTACCTTAGTAGCTTTCCTTGGAACTGGAGTGCATTTGAGATTAGTAATTTCTAAAGTGGGCAAATGGGAGATTTCAGTACGGGTTTGTGGTTCATTTGAGTCAGTTTCTTGCTCCAACTCCATAATTTGGTTTGATTTGTGTTTCTTGTCATTTTATTAGCTTGACTAGCCTTTGCTTATGGTCATTTCTTATAGGCAATGAATTTGTATCCACCAAAAAAAGAATTTGTACCTCTATCTTTGAAGTCAAATCAAAGTTGGCTTTTCTTTGCTTGTCCCTTTTAGCAAAGTGTATGCACATCTGACATTAAGGTTTATCACATTATGTGGGGTTGAATTTTGTTAATTCTGTCTTTTAACATGTTATGTCGAAATCATATTCTCATTTAGGTACGAATACATCTCATCCCTTTTATGCTTAATTTAAATACTTTTTATCTATGTTTTGCATGTTGTGCTGGAACTTCTAAAGGTATCCTGTGTACGTAACCTAACCACCTTTAATGTGTTTATCTCAAGTTCTCATTTGTTGGGGCCATCTCCACTTTCTTCCAGGACATTCATCTTGTATTCATTTTAGTCCAGTACCTTTGCAGTTCATTTCCTCTTTATCTATTTTTTCTTTGATATCCTTTTTTGTTATTCATATTCGTACCGGTAGTTCAAAACTTTGATCCGTTACGTACAGTTAATTTATGGCTGTATTCAACATTTACGTACCTCGATTGCCATGAATTCATACTGTATTTACTGGCCCGACCCTTGGATTCATGATGAATTGTTGACTTTGAATGTTTTAAATAAACATTAATATCATATTCTGGTGATATTTTGTACTCGCAATGTATTGAAGATGCATTTCCGCATTTCTCACTTCACTGTGTTATACAGGAAGCAGAATTGTTGGTCAACTTAAAGAATCATGACCTTGTTCCTGAGCACCAGCTCCTTACCCCCCTGGAGAAGAAGACCTTGCTGGAGAGATACACTGTGAAGGAAACACAGGTTATTTTTCTGTAAATGATGTCTGTTGGATTATCGTATTTGCTTCTACTTTCGATGGTTACTTCTCCAGAATTTATTAATTGATGTTCTCTTTTAACAACATTGCCTTTCTGTGGAACATTTCTCAAAATATTCAACAATTCAACAACAGCTAAGCATTTATTTCATGGAATTTTTATACTGATTGTTTATCATTATCACCCTCTATCATATGAGCCATATCATGATATGTAACTCTTTTAATTTTCAAATCCACAAAGGTTTAGGATTTCATCATCATCATATTATAGTTACTTTTGTTTTTCTTCTTTATGTATTATGGCATCTTGTGGAGGTCTTTATATCCTCGCGCCATTGTTTGCAGTTACCTAGGATTCAGGTAACTGATCCGATTGCGAGATATTATGGGCTGAAGCGTGGGCAGGTTGTGAAAATCATCCGACCAAGTGAGACTGCAGGCCGCTATGTCACCTACCGATATGTTGTTTGAGCTTTTGGTATCAACTGGTATGGTGAATTCTGAACCCTGAAAGGTTTAGTCGTTTAACTAGATGCTATGTAATCTTCTAATGGACTGAATATGCAGAAGTAGATCAACTATCTAGTCTTGTAGTGTTGCAGAGTAGGTTTGATGAGATACTTTAGACTACAATATTATCTAGCTTTGTTGTTTTTAATCTTTGTGTAGATAAGTGTTTCTATTCGTGTCGCACGAAACAACTCCTTCAGTCGCCATGTCCCTCCTTGTCTGTAGGATAAGCGGAGCACTTTTTATTTTCAAGATGGTTGAAGAAGTGACCCAAATACTGTCTACTCAAATCAATTTCCTTTATTCCTCATTTTCATTTCTTAGGCCATCTGTGAGAAGATTCCTTGGGTAAAGTAATCGCAAACAAGTTGAACAGTGTGAAATAATCTCAAAACAAATTTCAAGGTTTAAAGATTTCAAGTTTTTGGGTGTGAAAGATAAGTCTATAATTGGGGAGAGTCTAATTCATCGTTATGAGGATATGAGGACATTTGCTGCTTATAAAACCATTCCGGAATGGCATTGTCATCTAAATGAGTTTGTAATTCGAGGCTATCCGTTTGTTTTCCTTATTATAAAGAGGCTTTTGACTAATTTTACACATACCAATTTAACTACTATTTTCATCGTTCTAAATGAGGCTCCGGAAGAAAGTTTTACTCAATGAATTTAGTTTCGTGATTGCATACATTATCGATGAATGTCATCTTAATTTTAAAGTATTTTTGGGTGGCTGAATGTCAAATATTAAAAAGTTTTCACTAAACTATGCTCTGTTTTCATTGACTTACAGAACCAATCTCAAATAATCAGAATCATTTTGACTTAAATATGGAACTGAGATCTGATGATCAGCCTATATTTGATTTGAATGAAGAGCCATTCTCCGAAAATGATTATGGAGAAAACAATGATGATTCGTTTCTGTTTGAGGAGGATACCATGCATCAACACAAACAATGAAGACTCAACATGGGATGGATGGAGAGGACACAACCGACCCCAATCCAGGTAGCATTAAATATATTTGATTGCATTCTTAAGTACTCCTAAATGAGGGATACTGGCATTACATAACAACTTCTATATTGTATCTCTAAGCAGCGGATAATGAAGCACATGATGGCACCAAAAGGACGTAGGTTTTTGAATAATGAACAACGCTTGGCTGCATTTCGTCTTTTGATGAAATCTACTTCTACTGGCGGACGGTTAAAACAAGGTGCCTTAGACCATATAGCTTCATTGTTTTCAGTTTCTATACCAGTCATTGAACGCATTTGGAGTCAATCAAGAAGGATCGGTAATGTGTTCCATAGGAAGAAAAATTGTGGACGGAAGAAGCTACAAATCGACCATGCTCAGTTCCTTGGAATCTTTAGAAAAAGCCTTGAAAGTAAACAAAACATCATTGCATAGGCAGCTAAAAAGTGGAGTTTTAGTAGCGCCAAGCCGTTTCTGAAAGAAGAAAACAAGATTCGGCGATTGCAATTTTGCCTGTCAATGCTGGAAGCTGGTAGCATGCCGCATGATCCAACTTTTTTGCCAATGTACAACACTGTTCACCTTGACAAAAAATGGTTCAACATGTTCAAGAAGAATGCAACTTTTTATTTGCTTCGCAATGAAGAGGAACCTCCGCGTACACTAAGAAACGCAAATAAGATAGCAAGCGTAATGTTTTTAACTGCAGTTGCTCGTCCTAGATTTGATGCACAAGGGAATAAATTGAATTTTTTTTTAATTTTTTTATTATTTTAATATATTTATTGTTTCTTGTTCGGAATAGTAAAAAAATTAATTTACGGAGCCCCACCTGAAAAAATGGTATAAAAATTTTATTTTTGATTTTTTAAATTTTTTAGAATTTAAAAATACTTTAATTAATTTTAATATTATTTAATGATTATTTTATTTCCTAGAAAATCAAAAGATGGCCAAAAAGACAAAAATAACCCTCTATTTTGACGGTCATTTGGGTGGAAAGTTAATTTGGAACGTAAATCGTCGAAAAAATAATCTTTTTTTGACAAGATGAAACGAAAATGAACGTTTTGAAATGTACGGGACGAAAATGATGTTTTAACCAAATGTACGGGACGTTTTCTAAAGTTTAGTCTAATTTAAACTTAAATCTACTCTATCTATATAACTTTATAATGGAAAATGCAGAGAGAGAAACAGTAAAACAACCTCCAAATGACACATAGAGTTAAGTCATATGTGGCCTTATACAAAAAGGGGAAAAAACAAAAATCCTATGTGGTAATTTTCTACAAACTTTATTTCGAAAAAGCTAAAAAAAAATTACCAATTGACGTGGATACTACTATTACTAATTACTATTACAAAATTACTTCTTTTCTTTTTTTTTTTATATAATTATGAAGCAAACAAACATAACAAATGTTATCTTAAGAAATCAAACTAACTTATAGAGCAATATACAATCTGTATATTTGAAATATGTAAATTAATTCCTGCAAATTATATCCATAAAAAATTTAAAAAACATGCCTAAAACAAAAATCTTAATAGGAATTTAAGGCATAATTTACCAGTCTTTGGTTACTATGCCTCTCTACTTTCAAGCAGTTAGGGAGTCGCAGATAGTGGGAGGTTACGGTGATTTCTGGTTGGTACGAGGTACCGACGGTGTTATTCAGACTTATGCATACCACTGGCGCAAACGCTTCAAGTCGATTTTGTTTTTTACCATCATTGATCAAATCTATCTAGCTATACGAACGTGCTTATATGGTTCGTTATAATCACCTAAAATACTTATAAATTACGTGTAGGTTCAAAATGTGAATCATAATGTTGAAGTCACACAAAATTTTCGAGTGTAAACACCTTATTACCATTGTATAAACTTATTTGCCTTGAGTCAATCATACATCATTCCAGCGCTGCCTTCTTTTTCCTTTTGCTAAGTATACTGAGTAATACCGCAATTTCACCCGTAATCGGCCAACATTCTTAATTTCACCCGTAATTGGAACAAGACCACAACCCGAGAAAGGATTAAGGATCAAACTACAACGCGTCATCAAACAAATAAGTCTCCCAGATCTTCAAAATATTTCCATACTTTCAGTGCCTCACTATACAATGGCTTCCATATCTCCTTTGCTTTTTTACTGATTTCACAGTTTTCATGCATCTTCAAGTCTTCGATCTTATCCAAGCCTCCAGCTTCATCAATCAATTTGACCAAGAAATTGAAGTCTTCCGAACACTTTTCCGCTTCACTGGGCTTACTTATGCTCGCAATCCCCTTTAGACCAACTTCAAGAATCATAGGATCAGGGGACAGGAGAAGATCACATAATTGCTGTACACAGTTCTGCAAACCCCTGTACACGAGAATCCAAAGTAAAAGACAACCCTTCAGATTGAAATGTTTAGAACATTAATTCGAAATCCTTATGAGAAAGATGATGAAAAAAGTACTTGATTCCATAATGATTTCCCCTGGAGATGACTTTTAAAACAGCCTTCCCAGCTTTCTCGCTAATATCAGGTTCTCCACTTTGTAGCAAAGAAAACAAAGGTTCAATCAACCTGGCATCAATCACCTCCTGTAAATCCAAAAAATAGCATCAGAGAACTGCTTAACAAAATCTTCCATATACACAGTCAGCATTCAGCAACATGAAGAAAAGATCGATTGTGGACGAAAGAAAGACTGATGAGGTGGAATCTGGCTGTGACAGATCCTCAATGCTGCTTCTGTGGTAATCATACTGAGAGCTGGAAGCATTTGTTTTTCGAATGCTGCTATTCGGGGATTATACTTGACAGGATTAAAGGGTGGATGGGTATCAGGAAGCTGACTGGACAGAATGGTAAATGGAGGCTGGAAATCAAGTCTATTTGGAGGACTGCAAAGCTGAAAAGAGAGATATTGCAGGCTGTTCTGGTTGCGGCTATATATCATATATGGGAGGAGCAGAATTGGAGAATGTTCCAGCAGAAAGAAAGAACTGAAGAGCAGCTGGTGCAACTCATAAAGGAGGAGGTCAGAATCAGGGCTAGATTCTGTCATCAAAAACTGAGTACAGTAGCACAAAAAGTCTTAGAAACATGGTCTTTGTAAATGGGAGGATGATTGTAAGTAATGGTTGATGTAATAGTGGTATGGTAGCAATGTACAATGACGCGGTTCTTTGCAGGAAATGAAATCATAGTTTACTTTTTGACCGAAAAAAAAAACATGAAGAAAAGATTATACCTGATTCTGATTCTCATTTCCAGCAGTAATAGCAGAGATGATCAGGCATGCTTCATTCTTGATGGTTGTATTATCATGAGTCAACAGGCTTCGTAAAGAAAGAAGAGCCCCCTGGTCAATTATATACTGAAAAAACAGAACACTTACCATCAATACCATATACATCATAAAGTTTGTTCCCCTATATACTCTTAAGGATATGGGGGTGTAGAAGGAAAAAATTTCAGATGAATGAGTAGGCACATAGAACAGCAGTATCCGAGACCATATTTTTGAAAGCAAAATAAGAAAAAAAAAATGATCTTTTTTCCCAATCAAACCAAAATTTTGGACCTATCCTATCTCAACTTGGACATACAGTATGCCCACGGAGCTCAACCTTGAAATGCGAAACTTTATGATGTGATGGGATTGAATGAACATACCTGTCTCCGAACATTATCTCCACGCGCAATAATCCTGACAGAACGAAGAGCAGCAATTTGCACCCGAAGCAATGGATGCCTGGAAGATAAAAAATATTTCCTATCAAACATCAAATTAGGAGAAGAAAAAACCAAATATTCTGGAAGTGAAACCTACATGAGTAGCTCCACAAGTCGTGGATAGAGACCGGGATTAATTTCACGTTGGATTTTATCAATTGAGCCATCAAGAAGATATGCCAGAGCCCCACATGAATATGAGATCACATCCTGGTCCTCAACGTAAACAAGATACTGAAGAGACGAAAGGACTGGAGGCACCTGATATCTAATTAATACCGAATTAAAACCATTAAAACGAGAAGAAAATAGAGAACAAAATAGGAAAAAAAAATGTTTATACAGCTTACCAGATGAAATGGAAGCGGAGGATCGCCCAGAGAAAAGTTAAACAATGCCATTGCCACATATCTCAGCATCCTAAGTGTTGATTTGTAATTTCCTTGTTCCAGTAGTCGATCCAAAGCATCTTCTTCCAGAAGAAGAAGACGAGACTCACGAGAGTCACCGGCAATGTTACCCAATGCCCGTACAGCCTAAACATTAACAAATCATTCATTCAAACTAATTTTAAACCTCCCACAAAAAATATCAAGGCTTTCCAGCCCATATCTGGAACACCAAACAAGGCCTTTAGGGAAAACAAACCTGTTCACGAACTTCATAACTAGCAGATATGAGGAGATCTAAAAACACTGGAACAGCTTTGCTATCAATTACCAATTTAGCATGACCATGAGTCATAGATGCAACATTTGCCAGAGCCCAGGAAGCTTCAAACTAGTTAAACAAAAAAAAAAAAAAAGAGGGGGTAAAATACAAGTTAGTATCAACTTCAACTCTAAACAGCAGAACACTTGTAAAGAAAGACAAATTCAAGAGATACAACATTAAACGCTGGAGGGAACATCGGGTTGAGGAATAAAACACAGAGGGCAACACCTGGCATCACTTCTTCAATAGGAGGGTTCGTTTCTGTAAATAAATGTTTTAAACAAACAATGAGTGATCACAATAACGCTGGGGAACTTCAGAACATCAAAGCAATGCAGGTAAAAACCATACCTGTTGAAACCATGTCGCAGAACTCCCTCAATAATTTTAAGTCATGGTTATGCCAATCCAATTCCTGAACAACATGTTACCACATCAGAAGACCACTCAATTTTTTCAAAAAGAGGAAAAAAGAATATGACAATGAATCAGCAGCATGGTCCCAAAGGGTAGCAGTATGACACCATCCCTACAACTAAACTAGGGATACCAATCACCCCCACAGTTGGGAACAAAAGGAAGCATGATACTAAACCAAGGTAACAAGAGACAAAATTTATTCGTTTCAAACAAAGCAATTCGTAGTAAACCACACCATATTAATCGGCGACACAAAATAGCTAATACCCACACAAAGGAGGATCCAAGCAGGCCGAAACAAAATAAAAATAGAAATAACCTCCACGGGGGAGAAGGAGACATCATAATTCGTCCGCCGTGCTACCGCCTCCTCGAACCGCTTACGCTTCTTCTCTCGGATAACCGTTAGATCCTCCATGAACTGAAGTATACCACCTGAATCCTTCTAACTCAATCAAAACAAACAAAAAGGGAACCCTGAAAAGTTGAAGCGTGACATGAACAAAAGCATTAAACCAACAACAGAGACATAAAACTACAATTATGATCATACTTAAATCTATATATACTAGTGATGTCTGGTCGCTGGCCCAGTCTATCTGTAGATCTTAGAAATATTTATATTTGAAAAAAAATAAAATTTTGTATTTGTAGCGATATATTTTAGAAATATTTGAAGGATTTAGAAATGTTTTATAAGTGTGATCATAGAAATATTTGTATTTCACACACAAAAAAAAAGAAATTGTATTTCGCCATGTATGTTTTAGGAATGTTTTATAAGTGTTACTTATTAAATATAAATAGCCTTAATCGAATAAATGTGTTGAAGTAAATGTTAAATAAAATATAAAAGCATCCTAATAAATTTAAATATTAGTAAGATGATTTATTGATGTTCTCCATTGGTCGTGCCAAATCAATACTTAGTTTTGGAGATTTTTAATAGTTTTGTAATAAGTTTCATCCGAAGGGTATACGCTTAAAACAAAGTTGACACTTTGTAACAAAAACCTAATTGATCAATTCAATTTAAAAAACTACTCTAGTTGAATGAAACATAAAGAAAAAATAAAATAAAAAAAACGTGTCACGTAAAGTGGAAATGGAATTTAGTAATTTAGTTATGGTTAGACAAAAGGGCAATTTAGTACTTTCTACATGCCACGTGGCAATCATATGAGGTGTTTGAAAGGGAGGTTTTTGTGGAAAAAGAAATTTAGTAATTTAGTTATGGTTAGACAAAAGGGCAATTTAGTACTTTCCACATGCCACGTGGCAATCATATGAGGTGTTTGAAAGGGAGGTTTTTGTTTCTAATATAGTAGGATATGTATATATATATATATATATATATATATATATATATATATATACTAGATGTTAAACCCGCACGATGCGCAGGGTTTATTCATAGATACTAGATGCTTGTCCCGGGCGAATGCCCGGGGTGCTGCCTGTATTTTTAAATCGATTAAATAAAAAATACGAATTATTCTTAAAAGAATAAAAAAAATAGAAGAATAAAAAATCGATTGAAATGATAGATATTGAGTTATTACACATAAATCTATGCCCAGATTTACAACATTTAATTTACAATAGTTAACTTGTACCCGGGTTTACATAATTTATAAACTAATATCTACAATAGAAGAATAAAAAAAAATCATCCTTAAAAAATCAAATTTCTTTCATGACAGCTTATTTTTTCTCTGTTGTGGAAAGAGATGGATTGATAATTGATGCCAGATTTTAAGTAATTGATTTAAAGGCCCGGGTGTGAGATGGGAGTGGAATGGAAGAGATCTTTTGAAATTGGAAATTGGGAAGACATTACTGGTGTTTCATTTGATTTAAGGGGATTTCCTTACATTTGATTTTATCAACTAAATATTGTTGTTTTACGGGATTAGTATATACTTATAATTAAGAGGTTTTTATTTAGCTATAATTAAGGGATTTATGTATTTATCTATTCCATCTTTTTTTCTGATTAGTTAGAGTGCCACGTGTCAAAAATGATTTTGTACTGGAAAAGGCTTTTGGCTGAAAAATTTTTATTGTGGTACTGACACATGTCCTTTTTGTTTGCTGCTTTAATTAAGTACTATAGATTTCTAAAAAAAAACTATTTTAAGTTTCAAATATGCTAAATACCAATAAAAAATATCGGTGTTTATTGTGATAATATATGAGTAAAAGTAAATTAAAGTGTTATTCAAAATTAAAAAAAATGGTCAAAATATGATAGTTTTCCTCAATAACTAATATACACATTAATCTATTTCTTTCATTTGATGTTCATTATGATGACCAACATAAATTGTCTACATCTCTTAAACCGAGTACCTTTTTTCATTTTTCTAATTTTTTGCATTATAAATTGATGCAGGAGAAAAATCCACTAATTTTTCTACAATAAAAAGTTAAGAAAAAGTCACAAACAGTTAAAATAAAACAATAAAAAAGAAAAATATAAAAAAAAAATATTGAACCCATTCTCTATTTATCAATTGTAATACACAATGATATTTAAAAAATAAATAAATAATATGGCTTATAGTTTCCATTAAAAAAAAAAATTTGTAGATAAGATGGTACATTATTGCCAAGGCAAAGCAGAAGTCAAAATACTAATGTAATAATTCACATAACCAAGAAAAAAAAAGTTAAATAGAAAAATAAAACACTATCTAATAGTTCCTTCTAAAATAGTACTTGATAAATTTTTCTTATGGTGAAAGCCAATCAACAACAAACGCATAACACGATCAACAACAACCCAGTACTTTAGCATCTGCTTCTCAAATAGCATTCAAATCTGACTATTTGAAAAAGCAAGAGTTGAAATTATAAAGAATAAGAGACATTCCAAATTGTCTGGAACAACAAACTCAATTTTAAAGAATGATCTATCTTTATTTTTTTTAAAAAGAAATCGTTGAGGTTTCTAGTTGTGTATTCAAATTTTAAAATGACGGGATAAGAATTTGCTAATTCCAAAATAGGTCATTTCATTTCAAGCCGTAACGTATACAGAAAATTCATTGCTTTTCAAATCTATCTAGTTAATTTTTTGATGAGTAAGGCTTACAATAATGCTGACAGGCAATAACGCAAGGATATCTGAGCTAAATTTTTTAATATTTATATTGTTTTTGTTTAAAATTTGGTTTTAGCTTATATTATAAAATAATATTTCACACACAACAAAAAATAATAATAATATTTTATTTCATTTCCCAAGACACAACCCCATTTTATGACACTTTAAAACAAATCACGGTTATCATCTCACTAATTATTAAAGAAAAAGATTTACGCTGCTATTATCGTTTGGAGAAACAGCAACAAATTAATTATTACTTTAATTACAAAAATGATATTAAAAATATATTAATCGATAACATTTATACATATATATGTGTGTGTATTCATATTCCACCAAACTAATAAGTAAAATAATTTCAGTGAGCCTATAATACATGAGTGCAATTAATATGTATCACCAACAACACAAAATTAAAAAGTGCAAATAAACATAGAACGAAAAATAACACTTTTCAAATCTCATAAATTTGAAATTCATTTCTCACTATTTCTTTTTCCAGCCGATGTCTTTTTTTTTTTTTCCTTTTTTTAATTTTATTTCTTGAATTTGTGAAGCCCTAATTAAGTTGAGATACTCAAACAAAAACCATCTACGTGAACTCTTCCATACTTATGACGAACTTAAAGAAGTTTCTTTTTGCCCTTAAAATGGCGTCGCATATTCTACTTCTTGTGCTTTTTACTGGAACAGCCATGGCGAATGCATCCATCCTCCTAAGACGGGAACCTGTTTAATAAATAATTATAATCAATTTGCATCAAAAAAAAAAAAAAACCAAATTCATACGTACTAAGAAGTTAAAACAAAATCGTCTTGAAACTTTGGTTCCACACTTCCACTGAAATTATCAACAATCAAATTTCTAATTTTTACGTATATATAATATGAAATTAAAATATTTATATGCATACCTTTTCTCAGCTTAACAAAGTCAACGCCATATATTCGCATAGCTACGCTTGTCTTGTCAAGAACCTTGCACTGATCATAGTGTTGTATTAGACAACTTGATTTAACATGATTGTGAAATTAAAATCTACATAAACAAACAATAACATCTCTTAATTAAGGTCACATGCATCTTACAGTGGTTATGACTGAAGTTTCAGTATACGATAACCGCGCTCATATGAATGAGACTGTTGATGAGATTGCAGTCGAGGGTTGCATACGGTGAATTTTTGTTGAGAGGTACATTCTCTACGTTGAGAGGTATGTCTTCAAAACGCTTCTGGGGCAACTCATGTTTACAATGGTGATTTTTATAAGGGTTGGGAGATAATAATCAGAAATTACGCATGAAACCCTAATATATTATTGTCATATATGATAAGATTTCGCAACCAGTACTGCTCATCTTAGTTCGTTTCATCTCATCATTATTATTAATTGGGTCGTTAATGCGACTCCTCTTTTAAATTTTAAAATAGTATAGCAGTTACCATATTATTTATTTTGAGTTGATTGAAATATTAATGATGATTGATTTTCATAATTGATTGTGTTCTATTTCATCTTAAAATTTGAATATATCAATAAAATACATTAAAACATTAATTCCTTAAAATTTGATTTCCCTATTTTAAATACAATTTTTAAAATTTCAAATTTATTCCTTTTATTATAAAATATGAATTCGGTGAATTAATATAATCAATATCAGAATATTCTAGCATCATACTATTATGCAGGAACTATTATTATAAATATTGAAACTTTTTTAAAACCATTGCTTAAGAGATTGCCACATAGGATAAACCTTTAGAATTCTTTTTTTGTTTCTCTCTCTAGTTTCTCTCTTAGTATAATATATATATATATATATTATAGATGTGGATTATATATGTTTATTTTTGAATTTCAAATCAAATCAGATTGTATAATGAATAAAATTAATTCTTACCTTTTTTGGGTGACACATAATGGAAGATTTGAAGATTTTCTGTTTTTATTTCATCTCACAATTACGAAATAGAAAGTTTTTGTTGATTATG